CTTTAATAAATGGAACGTGAAATGTAAAAAGTATGAATCTAGGAAAATTGGAAGTTGTCAAAATGAAATGATCTCATAAAGATCAATATCTTGGTGTGCTGAAATGTACTGGTATTGGCCATTTTGAATCTGATAATCATATGGTTTAGTATGCTGAGAATATTAATTGAAAAGGACTAGTTCTACTTTTATCATCATAAAGAACATTTCAAGATCCATCTTGAAGTACAACACTATCTGTGATAGGATAATATCCATGTGCATACAAGGAAGATCAGTTAACACCACCAACCAATAAAGCCAAATGATGAAATTGAAGAATTCTACCAACTTCTTCAGTCTGAAATTGATCACACATGCAATCAAGATGTATTTATAATTCCTGGGAATTGGAGTACAAAATCTGGAAACATAAAGGAAGGATTCATAGTTGGAAAATATGGCCTTGGTCATAGAATTTATGCCAGAAATCACATGATAGACTTTTACAAGGTCAATGACTTATTCCTTGCAAATACCTTAAAAAAAAATTTTTTTTTTTAAATAACGTGAAAGGTGACTGTATGGCACTTAACAACAACTAAAGGCACTGACTATACACCTAGACCTCATCACATTGAATACATAGGAATCAAATTGACTACATCTCTTAGAAGAGTGATGGAGAAGCTTAGTATTATCAGCCAAAACAAGGTCAGGGCCAGCTGTGGAACAGATTATCAATTGGTTATATGCAAGTTCAGGTTGAAGCTATAGAAAATTAAAACAAGTCCACCAGAGCCAAAATATGACCTTGATTATACTCCACCTGACCTGACCCAAACCATAATATTTTCAATTACCTCACCTGGTGTTGGAGGAGAATATTGAAATTGCCATGGGCTGCCAAAAGAACCAACAAATCTGTATTGGAATAAGTCCAGCTGGAGTGCTCCTTGGAGGCTAGGATGGAAACTTCGTCTCTCATACTTCGGACATATTGTCAAGAGGAACTAGTCGCTGAAAAATGATATCATGTTTGGTAAGGTTGAGTGTCAGAGAAAAAGAGGAAGACTCCCAACACGATGGATTGGCCAAGTGGCAACATCAATGGGCTCAAGCGTGGTAACAACAGTGAGGTTGGCCCAGGATTGGGCAGTGTTTTTTTCTGTTGTGCATAGGGTCACTATTAGTTGGTACTGACTTGATAACACCTAACAACAACAACAACACGTGCATGTGAATGTTGGACAATGAATAAGGAAGACCTTAGAAGAATCAGTGCATTTGAATTAGGGTAATGGAGAAGAATATTAAAAGTTCCATGGAAAGGCAGAATAACAAACAGGCCTGTCTTGGAAGAAATGCAACCAGAATACTTTTTCAAAGTCAGGTTGGCGAGCTCTTGTACCTGATATTTCAGAATTATCATCAGGAAGTATTGGTCTCTGGAGGACATCATACTTAGTAAAGTGGAAGGTCAACAAAAAGAGGCAGACATTCAATGATTGACAGAGTAGCATCAACAATGGGCTCAAAAGTGACAACTGTGAGAATGACACAGGACCTGGCAGTTTTTCTTTCTGTCCTGCATAGGGTAACTATGAGTCAGAACCAATTCATCAGCAAGTGTCTTATCTTATCTGAGTTTAGAGATCATCTCAGACCAGATTTGGTACATTAGACATTAATATCCAATGACCAGACAGAACATCATATATGAAGAAAAATAAGAAAGCAAAACCAAGGTGAATGACAGAAGAGACTCTAAGACTTGTTCTTGAGCATAGAGAAGCAAAAGCAACTGAGAAGAAATGATGAAGTAAAAGAGCTGTATATACAATTACAAAAGGCAGCTCAAGAAGACAAATATAGTGAAGTGTGCAAAAAGCTGGTTTAGAGAGGCAAGGCAATCTTGAGCTTTTGCAAGTGGTTGCCTATGCAGCAGCCTGAAGGTACAGGGTGTGACTGCGGAAGGGAGATAATGGAATATAGTCCGCCCTTTTTCCCCTATACCTTTTAGGTAGCTGGGGTGTGGCAGTCCCACCAACATCTGTGCATTGGCCAGTGGCACTCCCTCCTGTAGCACTTTGACTGAATTGGGCACCAGGTCCAATTTGCTACACAAATAAAGAAGAGAGAAATGTATTCAGACTTCCAGTCTCTATTACATTCACCAGAGACTGGTGGGACGTGCCTGAGAACACACCATCGTACAATCATCAGTTAAATGTAAATACAATGTCTCAGAGAACACAGACAATTTCATCTTACATGAAGAGATAAGACAGAGTGCCTCAAACAAGTCACCAACATACAGAGTCAGAAAATGTAATACCAGAAACTGTATCAGAACCACTTGATAAGGAATTTAAAATAATACTATTTAAGTACCTTCAACAAATTGAGAAAAAGATGGATGAAAGTAAGTAGGTATCCAGGAAACACTACAAGAACATAATATATGAAAATTTTGAAACCATAAAAATCAGCAATTAGGAAGTCAGAAAATTAATACTTGGTTGGTTGGTTGGTTTTGTGCCGTGGAGTCGGTTCCGACTCATAGCGACCCTATACATGGTTTCTGGGGCTGCAAATCTTTACGGGAGAAGAAATTCTCATCTTTCTCCAGCGGAACAGCTGGTAGTTTCAAACTGCTGGCCTTGCGGTTCACAGCCCTATTTGTAACTACTACGCTACCAGAGCTAAGACTTCCGAAATAGACAATACATTGAAAAGACAAAGAATCTGAATTGAATCAATGGAAGGTCGATTCAGTGAGTTTAAAGTCAAATCTCTCAATACTCATCTTTCAGAGGAACAATCAGAAAAAATAATGAAAAAAATCGAAGGAAAGCTTAAAATTTATGTGGGACACTCTCAAAAGGAATATCTTCATTTGATTGGAATTCCAGAACAGGAACAAACAACAATTAAAAAA